TTTTTTTATTTTGTGGGCTTGATTTTGTTGTTGGAAATTTTACACTTGTTGTATTTTTTTCTGTTTTTATTAATCTTTATTGACCGTATTTTTCCAGACAATAAGGCGCATTAATTGAAACAAAACAGTCAGATAAGTCCAACTTTATTCAACTCAGTCACAATAACCACATAAAATCAGTAAACACAACTAGAATTAATACATAAGGCGCACCGGATTATAAGGCTCACTGTCGATTTTTGAGAAAATTAAATGATTTTAAGTGTCTTATATTCTGAAAAATATGGTAGTTTTCTGAATAGTTGAGTGTTTTCAAACTGCATTGTTCTTGATTACACCCGTTTTCCTGCAATAAATGTTTTTTGTTAGTCGTGTTTGAAAGTGAAAACGTTTCCTGCTATTTATTGTCTTTTTAAGTTACTTTAATCTTTATTATTTACATTTTTAAAAAGAGATAACTGGATCACTTTGTACAAAAAGATTTGACACATCAAAACACATTTTATTCATTCATCTGGTTTACTTTTACATCATTTATCAGCAATGTTTTAGTAACGGCCTCCGCTTGTTTGCAGGAAATTAACAGTAGAAATTGTTTTAAGGAAATAGTTTCTATTATAAGATATAAGACAGAACCAGGGTCAGCATGGTGGCAAAGATGGTAGAGCTGCTGCCTCTCAGCGAGAAGGTTGCCGGATCAAATCCCAGCCGGGGACTTTTCTGGGTGGAGTTTGCATGTTCCCTCTGTGCATGCATGAGTTGTCTCCGGGTACTCCGGTTTCCTCCGACAGACCAAAAACATGCATTTGAGACTGATTGGTAACTCTAAATTGTCTCTTGGTGTGAGTGAGAGAGTGAATCGTTGTTTGTCTCGTTTGTCTCTATGTGTCCATGTGATGGACTGGAGACCTGTCCAGGATGTCCCCCGCCTCTTGCACATGGACACAAGTGACCCCCACAACCCAAAAAGGAAGCAGTGGGTAAAGATAATGGATGGATGACATAACCAAATATCAGTTTAAAAGCCACATTTTTTAAAGACAAAAGATTCATCAAACGGCTAAAGTTACAAAAGAATCCACGAGATGCTAATTTATATTTATATTTGCCAGGTGTACAGGTATTAAGTGTTTTTTAGCTACTCCTCAACATTCACTTAAATTGTGTTTTTCTTTCTAAAATGGACATAAATAACTAAAAAGGAGAATGTGAAAAATGTTATTGTATTTAAATTTTGACTTTCTTCAAGGGTTAAGGGAAAAAAAAATATATACGTAATATGTCTTTGGTTCTGTAATTCTGTTGTAATTTGATCAAACTCTGTCAAATATGCTCCATTAAGAGCTTACAACATTGTGCTGACTTGTGAAAAAGTGGCACACGTGCACAATGAGGCAAAAAAAAGAGATTGACTAAATATTAAGAGGGTCACAATGTTGTGGCTGATCGGTGAATGTGCTTATTCACCAAACCACGTGATGTTGGCTTAACCTGCATATAAAAGTACGAAAGACGGTTAACAATCAGCATTTCCTTTCCATTAGTGGAAATAACATCCACGTCATCAGGAAGATGAAAAAACAACCAAACAGCAGCTCCTAAATCTGATTAAATGGTTATCTGGTAATTTGACAGACGGAGCTAAAAGTTGAAAGAAGGAAGATGCGATAGATTTATCCGTCTCAGTCAGGAGCACAAGTTTCCCAGAGAAGAGAAGAGTGGATGATGCAAGCTGATGAAAATGATGCAAAAGCTCCTGCCTTGTGGGTAATACCCAGCTAATGTGAGTCACCGCAGCGAAAACTTAAAAAAACCCTCAAAAAAACAGAGAGAAAGGTCGTTTAAAAGACAAGATGGGAAAGAGATGGACGGTACTTTCACAATAAAACATTTGTCCATTCGTGGTGTGCTTTACTTAATGGAACGGACACCTTCCTGCTCAGAACGTCAATCCCTTTAACTTCGGTAATAAATTCTCTTAAAGTGCAAGTCACACCGAGTGTCTGATGCCTACCTTGTTGACAACGATGAAAAGGGTGTAGAGGAGCATCAGGTGGTGTCTCTGCAGGGGCAGGTAGTGGGTCTGCTGCAGAGTGAAGAGCACCGCTCCCAGCAGGGTGATCTTCGTGGGGCTAAACAGTCAGAAAATGAAGAACGTATCAGATTAGATCAAATGTAAACATAGTCTGAGTCACCAATTGTGCTTCACGGGGCATTGTTTGATATTTTTTGTTCATGTTTTCGTCAGAACACCAAGAGAAGGTGCACTGACAAAACAATTGAGCATTTAAAAAAAACACCTAAAGCCCTGATGTAATATCAAATCCTGTAGATTAGATTTCTTACTAAGACATTTTGAGGAGCTCATTTGTTTCTGGCTTCCATACACCTCGAACAAGCTGCTCAAAATTACTGATGAGACCGCCTCCAGCACCTGGAAAGACCAGACGAAACATACAGTTAAACACTTCGTCAACTAAACATCAAATACTTCAGAACAACATGAAAGTACTCCCATAAGAGTTTCCCCAGTCGTGAATCAGTTACTGACCTCTCGCCCAGCCAATGGCGATCATCACCAGCAGGCTGTCTTTGTATTTATTGTGAGCCATCGTGACGCCTCCAAGGACCTTCCCCGTCCTGGTCACCTCCTTCAGGCCTGACAGCACCACCCTGATGGGCGGCAGGGCGGTGCAGGAGTACACCATATCCATGGGGCTATAAAAGACGAGGTACCTGCAGGAGCAAACGTCGGTTGTCGGATTGAAACACAGTTGAGCAGGAAAATCTGTGCAAGCTACAGCATGTGGCCTAGTCTCAAATACTTCCAGCTGCCAGCAGAGGGCAGTGTGTGATAGATGGTGAGAAAGGTGTAATGATTTTTTAATGCCAGCAGAGGGGGCCAAAGGTTTTTAAAATTAAAGAGGAACTCAACATTTTCTATTGCTTGCAGTCGCACTTACATCTAATGCTGCTTCATCTCTTTATTTTATCCCTATTTTTTTTTTATTCCAGATTTAATTATTTACCAGACGAGTGAAGCGAGCAGAATAACAGGTCCGTTGGACAAAGGTGCCACCGGTGGCTCTGCCAGCATGATCCCCGACAGCACGCTGCCCCCGAAACAGTAGAGCATGGAGCTGAACCAGCAGGCCAAGGGGCTGACCCTGGACACCTCCAGAGCTCCTGTGCAAGAACAGAAATGATGGTGTAAGAATGATTGCACATTCCACGTTAGTTATCAGTTTTCCAGCATATTGATACTTCTCTAGTAATTTAGACTTCACATGTTGCAAAAACAGGTTCAAGTTGAACTTTGCAGTACGGCACAGTGTGACCCTTTGACCTCCTTCCTGTCTGGTCCATGTGCCTCACTGAGTAAATATTAACGTGTTGATCGTGGGGTCAGAAAGGGAAAGGTTGTCAAACCCCGCTGCAGTTAGCGGAGAGATTTAAAGCTCAAAGTACAGAGCAGAGGAACTGACATTTATAGAGCGTGATCAGATCAGTTCAGTGAAGATACCAACCAGCTGCTCCTTGTTACAGAAGTGTTCCCACCTAATTAAAATAAACACCGTATTCCTTCTTCGGCTTAGATTCATTAAACAGTCACAACTTGTCAAGAAGAGACAAGTTACAGACAAACTGCGAGCCGAACAAATAGTATGAGAAATGCCGGCACAGGTTTTGATTTACTTTGTTCAAATAAATAAAAGCAAACCTTCTGTAATTGCAGTTTGCCTAAGCTGAAAGACAACAGAGATTTTGTGTGTATACACAAACACCCCAGTACAACTTGAGCTCAACTCATCAAGCTTATTTAAAATTAACAGGCCAGTGTGCGCTAAATTACACATTACCTCAGACACAGGAATTATTAAACTCTGACACACTCATCCTGCGTAACTTTATACCCACTCAGGACTGTAATGGTAATCTGAGGATTACAGGCCGATTACAGACTCAGGTATCAACTTGTTTTCTCTGCAGACTGCAGCTTTTACAGCTGTTTATTGGTGAACATACTAGGTAAGTAAAAAGAAAGCATGGGGAAATTATACCATATTTTTCAGACTATAAGGCACACTTAAAATCCTTTAATTTGCTCAAAAATCAACAGTGAGCCTTATAATCCAGTGCGCCTTATGTATTAATTCTGGTTGTGCTTACTGACCTCAAACCCATTTTATGTGGTACACGGCGCTCAAAAATCTGTCCAAATAAACTTGTTTCACTTAATGTGCCTAATAATCTGGTGCGTCTTATAGTCCGAAAAATACGGTACATGGGTCAAGGTACAAATAATACTGAAAGCAAAGCCCTCTTCACACAGGATGATGATATTGGTCTTAGCAAAGTCTTCAGGCCTGTATTAAAAATGCCGTGTACTCTTGATAACGTGTAATAAGAGTGGTACATGTCCACACACAGTGGGTTTGAACAAGCACAAAAAGTCCACGTCAAAGTGGTGGTAGCGGTCATATTTGTGGAAATGTACAGAGGTCCTTAGTAGAGCAGGGTGGCAGTATAACCATGATGTGGAGCGTGCACGCCGCAGTGTGACTCGGTCATAGAGAATCTGAAGCAGGACTGGTCATGCTGGCCTCATAGGGTACAATCGTGATTGTGATGAGCACACACCAAGCACACACATAAAACATGTAAAACATATGGTGGTAGTGTCATGCTAGTGTAGCAACACCATCTGCATCCTGACACAGTCAATCGTAACAGGGGAGGCAAACAAAGAGTGTGGTCAGGGTGATGCACAGAGATGTGGTTAAGTGCAGGGGAAAAAACATAAATGGTGAGTTCTAAGAGCGTTGCAGCATCGTGATTGTCTTCACGTGGAAAGAAGTGATCCAGCCTCATTCTACTAGGTTATACAAGCTGTGGACAAACCCCATTCTGCACATTGTTAGGTCAAAACTGACACAGTACCAAACTGCCCTGTAAGTGCAGTCAAACCTGAGCATATTGAAGAAATACACATCAAGTTTTAAATTTAAAAAATTGCACATGATCCGTTAGCACTCAGAGTATATGTTGCATAGGACACTCTGCTACGACCACATCAAACTGTAGCTCAACATCAGTTAAACTAACAAAGCTTTAGCCATTTTTGTGCTTGTTCAGTTGATTAGCTGCAGCCACCTGGTTGACTTCAAACATTAACGTTAGATGTACACTTAATGATGATGTGATGAGTTTCATTAAAAGTAGTCCGCTGCTTCATGAGATATTTTGCTAACAAACAGGCAGGGTCAACTCCAACAGGTAATGCTAACAATGTCAAAAGATATCTGCAATTGTTAATGCTTGATGTGTGTTTCAGTTTGGTTTCAACTAGGGATGCACAATATTATCGGCATGGTATCTGCTGATATTAGTGATAAAAGTTAAATATTGGACATCAGCCATTCCATCAAAATAACTCAGATATAAAAGGCACCGTTTTTATATGTATATTTATATAGTATTGCATCATCTTCAGTCCTCTTTTTGACATCTGCATTTGGTAGTAGGCCAAATTGACAAAGACCATGCAGAATAATGTAGTATTTTAATTCCACTAGTTCACTAATTGAATTAGTCTCTGTAAGTAGGTCTAGGAAAAAAAATATATTTGTACTACCAAATAAGTTTTAACATATCGGCATATCAGATATCGGCCAAAAATCCAATATCGTGCATTCCTAGTTTCAACACAAAGTGAGACCTAAGCATCATTAGAAGCATTGTTCGGTGTGTTCTGTGAAACGTCAACAAATTAATAATTCACCTCTTGACGGTCAACAACAGTAGGAGCACGAGCAAGTTCTGACAACTACTGTACGTCACTGCAGAGTTTAAAAGTGCAGCATATTGTTTGTACAGAAAACACCAGTGATGCTTGGTGCAAAAATAAATCCTGCATATGCACGAGCCCGACTGACCAGAAACCAACAATAAAACTAAATCATGACGTGAAGGAGAATCCATTTATAAAATAAAGTGTGTTGGTAACATTTCTTTGCTTTTACCTGCAACGCTGACACACTTGACAGTATGTCAGTACCACATCCTGTCGCTGAGTTTTGCATATGAGGGACATACATTTACAAGTCAAATATAAATAATCAGGCCACTTGCAGTGCTGCTTTACTTGCACACTGTATTTTATCCCCTTATTCTTTATTTCCTACTTACATTAATGAAACAATAAACATGTATTATACGGACGCTGATCCCAGATGGTGCCATGTTGTATTTTTGGTGCTAAAGGTTGTGCATGAGCACCGTGAGGTTTAAAGTCCTGCCTACTCGCATTTACACAGTCCTAGTTTCAGTGACTTTTTGTTTAAGCATGAAATAACCGATCACAGCTGTACGTGTAAATATATTTGAACATACAACAGCAAGATAAGAACTTTGTGAATTCTTAAAAAATATCCCGGGTGTATTTTTTAATAACCGGCAAAATCTTGCTTGTAACATATCTCATTCAGAGCTTTTACATCCAAACTAAACGTTATTGAGGCCAATTCAATGACATGTACCTGTTTATTACAACTTGGCATTTTATTTTAACTGTGTACTGTAATTTTTTGTGTTGCATAAGTTGCTGCCTCTTGGCTAAGACTCCCTTAAAAAAGAGGTTCTACTGTAAATCTTAATGGGTTTTTATTAGGGATTCACAATATTATCCGCATGGAATCGGTATCAGCCGATATTGGCGTTAAAGTTAAATATTGGACATCGGCTAATCAATCAAACTAATTCACCGATATAAAAGGTGCCGTTTTTGTATGACAACCCAGTGACAAGGATGCCTGCAGCGCCAGCACAACGTGATGATGTCACACATGCCTACCTGATCTGATCACAGCAGAGAGGAAAATTCAAAATATCGGCGTGTAGAAGTTTTTTTTTCCGTTGAGGATGTCGGAGTCCGAAGATTTTCGGACTACGTTGAGCCTCGCGACATCATCCCCATCCAGAGATGTTTTTTCCGACGTAGCCTTACCCTAGTTAGAAGCCGTCATTTCCGACGTCATTGAGAAGCTAATAGCCGATAGCACTTGAGTGAGTTTTACCACAGACGTTTGAATGTCAAGTGTTAGCCCCGTTAGCATGATTAGTCTTACGGAACAATGGATAGACAAAACCTTTGAACTTTAAAAAGTCTGTCCTTCATGCACAAGAGTGCAGAGGATCCCACACTGCAGCTAGGAACCTGGAACAAGCCTCCACAAGTGAGACAGCATCGCAGGTGACTAATGCTAATAAATAACATTTAACACTTTTCATTTAATATAAGTTAGAAGTGCTATGCATATCATATGGCTGTTACTGAATATGTCACCAGCTCTTACAGCTGTTGCATAATTTTTGTAGCAAATAAGCCAAAATAAGACGGCTATGTTCTGACTAGACCTGTCGCGATAAACAATAAATCAATTAATCGCATGATAAATGAAAATTATCTACCTGATTTTCATTTACCGTCTTTATTGTTTCTTCGCATCTCCATCTTTCTATTGAGGACACGGCTCAACTCAGGTGCTCTTCACTGATCCCTCCCTTTCTCTTTTAAATCTGTTTTAACCATCTAAAATTGCGTTTTTGGATCGTTTAAAGCAGCTAAGCTGAGAAGCTAAGCTACGAACTAAGCTAACAGGCCGACCTCGGGAATAAACCTCCTGTCGAGCTCCAAAGTTCACAGTTGAAACCCATACCTTTGTGTAAAAATGTTGTTTTTCTCTTCAAAAATAAGCTGAGAACTTGTTTACTGATTTTTTTAAATTAAAAGCTTTGTGTGAAAAATGCTATGCTAAAGAGATCAAATCACCGAGCGTCCGCTATTTCACCATGTCAGCCCATGTCACGTCAAGGGCCCTCCCTCCCATTTTTCTTAGAGTGCTGCTCAACTATCCATCCTTTGGTTCAAACAGTCTTATACTGCCATCAGGTGGTCAAAAAAGGTACTACACTCAAAACAAAAACATTTATTCTAACATTTACCAATTAATAATTGTTAAATTTCAAACAATATTATCATTTATCGCAATAATTTCTGAGACAATTAATCGCCCAGCAAAATTTGTTATCATGACAGGCCTAGTTCTGACAAAGAAAAGCATATAAAAAAAATATTGGTATCGGTTATCAGCCAAATAAGTTTTAACATATCGGCCAAAAATCCAATATCGTGCATCCCTAGTTTTATCCTGGTAAAATAAAGGTTAAATAATAAAATAAAAATGGTGCCTCCTGTCCATCTCTGCCTTTCCACTTCCCACCAATCCTCTTGAGGCAGAACATGCAACTTGAGTTTAAAATAGCTCACTAATAAGATTAGAGAGAGCCAGTAACTTCTTAACAGTAGCACATGTGTGCATTCGTCTGTCGTTTCCCTACACACGTTTAAATAAATGTTTGTTTTTCTAATAAGTTTAGTGAAAGTTTGAAAAAAAGCTTCACCGGACTCTGAATAAAACTATTAAAGATTTGGATGAGAGGATTAAACACAGGAAAGAGCGCAGACAGGGAAGGATGTGTGAGTTATGGTGTTCTGAAGAAGAAAAGCCGAACATGTCGGTGTTTTATATCCTGCTTTTTATTCGGTTAGTTGTTGATATTCACACGTTTCTCCCGAGATTCTCTCAGTATCTTGTCAAGCTGGTGGGCTAACTTCAAGTCCAAAGTTAAACCCACTGAACACAAACGAGCGTACAAATGCATTTCTTTGTTTGGCAAGATGTTAAACTTTGTTTCTCTTCTCTCCGGTCAGACGGTCAGATGCCCGGGAGTCGAGGACAATGGCTCAAAATGCCACAGCAGCTCAGATGCTTTGAGAGGCAAGCTCAAAAATAGATTCATGGCAGCAGGACTACAATGAGCCGCGGCCTGGGATCTGAATGTTTGTGTGCGCAACGTGTCCTGCTGGGACAGCTAAAGGTCCAGCTGTCCCCACAGAGACAATCTGAACTTTAAACAGATCAATGGCCGACTTCAGTCCGAGTTATTAACATGTCCTGAAATTAATACAAGTTTTGTTCTAAAGTGCAGCTTCATGAATGAAAGACAAATGTTAATTATTTACACTATCGAAGAGCTCATAATGGCTGCAGCGAGATGGTTTTATGGGCTTCATGATGTTTCTCGTGCTGCTCTCTAATAATACGTTTGCTTTTACTGAAACGACACTCGGCCATCTTAAGAAGCCCTGCACAAGCACGAATAAGATGCTCTGCTGCTGGAGCTCAGAGGAAAAGGCTGCAGTGCTGACACAGCAGCTGGGTGGACACATAAATTAGAAGGAGGGCCGTTTTATCTTGATGCACCAGCAGTCATGTTCACTAAACAAGTAGTTCAGCCGGGCACAACCCCCTGAAATATAGCGATCAAGTAAATGACAAAACTTGCATCCAATTTGATTTGTTTTAAAAAGGTTCAACCGAGGTGCTCGACGGCTCACTCAGCTGATAATCCAACATGTTTGTATTTGTGATTAGGGTTCGGAAAGCCACGGTTTCACCTGCAAGATAGTTTAACTTCATCATCATTTAGCATAAGTTGTTCCACTGTCAGAACAAAACGACACGCGTCGCTTCCATTTTCTGTCGAGGACGCAATCCAGTTAAGCAAGAGACGAAATGGTAACTTTCACCACAAACCAATTCATGGAATGATTATTTATTTATTAACTTTTGGCGAATCCCATTGCGATCACAGATCCTCTTTAGCAAGGGAGGCCTGAAGGCAGCCTAACACGCATGCTTTTGATATGTGGGAGAAAACTCACAAACTCCACAGAAAGACCCCAGCTCCAACTGGGGATTGAACCCAGGACCTTCTTGCTGTGAGGCAACAGTGCTAACCACCGAGCTGCCGTGCTGCCAATGATAAATTATTTAAACTATTAACTTTCATTGATGATTTGTTCCAAACTATTAATATTTTCTACTTTTAATGTGTAATTGCAACCAAATATAAAAACAAACTATTAAATATTAAATGGATTTGTTTTGTTTAATAAATTATAAAATGACACAATTCAAAAAGATAAATATAAAAGCAGGTAATATTATAGTAATCTAAGAGGAGATTTGTGGGTGTTTGATGACATGCATGTGCATGTGTGCACGTGTGCGGTTTACGTGGCATTCAGAGGTGCAGCAGTTACTTCTCCAGAACGCAACGGTCACTTCCGGAACGTAAAAACTTTCTCCTTACCTGGCTGCTCCCTCAGAGCCATGACTGACACGATGTAGTGCGCCATCTCAAAGTAAGGAAACATTGGCAAGTCTGCCAGTCCGTGGGACAGCTCGTCAAACATCCCGAGCAGCTCCATTATTGTCTCGCTGCTCGACCGCAGTGAGCTTTTTGCTAGTTCAGCCCAAAGCAGAGAAAAGTCCAACAGTGCAGCATCAGGCCGAACACTTGGCTTTCATCCTGTGAAGTCCCACTCAAGCCGAAGGAGGGGGGCACAACAGCTGTGTCTGAGCCCAGCTAGAGCTGCTCACAGCTGGCTGCTTCAACGTGAAGGATGACCACTGCACCGTGTTGGCAGCTGGGATGTTGTTATCAACTGTCACTGTCGGTCCGCCGCGCGCATAGACGGAATTCCTGCTCCGCTTCCGCCTTGCTGGGCATGCAGTGGGCGGAGCCACAAACGAGAGCGCCGTGAGCCAATCAGGTGTGAGAAAGTGGGCTCGTGAGATGATGGGACAGTTTACGATCCTCCCATGTAGCAGTTGTAAACTGGAAAGACTTCTTTTTGGAGGCTTTTATTCCTTCAACCTTTATTTAGACAGGTTAATCCCATTGAGCCTCGAGGACTCATTTACAAGAGAGACCTGATTTCAACAAAGAATGATGACAACAATGGACAACAGCGACAACAATAGACAATTATAAAAGATGGCAAAAAAAAAAGTAGCAAAAACAGGCGATTGTAGAAAACTAAAAACAGGAACATGTCTGTATTGGTCCTTGCCAGGAGTCCAACAGATGTTTGAAGCCACTTAGAGGTCAAGTTCAAGAGCTTCAGATCTTTTTGCACGGTATTCCAGGAAACAGGAGCGGAGTAGGAGAAGGCCCTTTTGCCAAGTTCAGTCCGCACTGAAGGGACACTGCAGGTAATAATGTCCTGATCTGATCCTGATCTGATCTGTCTTTATATACAATAGTTACATTTTATGTATTTTATTAAACTTTTTGCCTGTGTACTTGTACGCATTTTCAAACTGATTCCGTTTGTTCCCACATGGACAAGATTTCCAGTTGCTTTGCATGAAAACTGTCATACAAATAGCAAAAAAAAGGTTAAATCATGTCACCTGGACCGGTTTCTTTGAGGGAGAAACGTTTCGTCTTCCGTCCAGAAGACTTCATCAGTCTGTGGCCTGCCAACCAGCTCTGTCCCATAAGTAGCCTTCATTGCTGTGTTTCAAACCAACCTCCTGTCAGGACAGATGAGCCCTTTTGCATTTGTTAAAAAAGCCTGCTTTTGAGATTCCAACACAGCAATGAAGGCTACTTATGGGACAGATCTGGTTGGCCGGCCACAGACTGATGAAGTCTTCTGGACGGAAGACGAAACATTTCTCCCTTAAAGAAACTGGTCCAGATGACATAATTTAACCTTTTTTTTTGTTATCTACCTGGATGATTGAGCCTACAAACTGTCATACAAATAAAGTTTGACCTGACTTGTTGCATTTGTAATTGCTGGTAACTGTAATGGTAGAGCTTTCTGTAAAAGATGTCATATTTTGCCATTATCCATCCAGCCATCTATTTTCTGTTGCTTATTTGTGCTGGGGTCACAGAAGCAACAGGTTCAGGAAGAAAACAAAAATGATTTCTGATGACTTTTCAGCTCCTCCTAGTGTGTCTCAAGACATGTTCAAACATTGTGAAGACACATTGTCCCTCCAGAGGGAAGAACGCAGGAGGCATCCTAATCAGATGCCCAAACCACCTCAGTTGACTCTTTTTGATGTGGAGGAGCAGCAGCTTTACTCCCAGATGATCGAGCTCCTCACCTCATCTCTTAAGGCTGAGTCCGGCCACTCTAATAAAGGAACCCCGTTTCAGCGGCTTGTATCTGGTGTCTTGTTCTTTTTGTCATGATCAATACTTCATGATCATAGGTGAGAATTGGAAAGTACCATATTTTCTGGCGTATAGGTCGCATCAGTCAAAAAATGCATCACGAAAACCCATATATAAGTTGCTTCGGCATATAAGTCGCATTTATTATGCGTCACCGCTGACCCGTCACGTTTATTATGGTTTATTTAATGGTCAAAAGAGCTTCATTTCACTTGGGCAGCGCAGCGCCATTCATCCATCCATTCATCCATCCATCCATCGTGGCTGGAGCCGCTAGCTCCAGCGTTCTTCCGCCTATACCATCTGAGTGAAGTGAGCGTGCACGGGAGGACTCGCTATTGCAGTTCTTCGAAATTTAAAGTGTCAGTCAAAAATTGTGTTATGAATATGGGGGAAAAATATATATATATACGTCGCTTGGGCTTATAAGTCGCAGAACTGACAAATCTATGCATAAAACTGCAACTTATACACCAGAAAATACGGTAGATGGACCAGTAAGCTGAGAGATTTGACTTTTGGCTCAACTCTTTCTACACACCAGAATCCATCCTGACATTACTTAAGAACATGTCCAGATACTTGAACTCCTTTGCTTGAGGCAAAAACTTATTCCAGACCCAGATTTAACTGTGAACCACCCCAGTGACGCTGAAGTTCATGGCTTGAAGATGCCAACATCATGTGCAAAAAGTAGAGACGAAACCTTGAGGATCTTGAAGGTGTCTTGGCATGTCAATTCCTGGCAACCCAATCTGGCTATAGGTATACGAAATGTTTTGTCATTATAACAATTATATTTCTTTTTAAAACAACAAAAATGACTTCTCAGTTTAAAATCCAAAGCTAAACTTCAGAAGAAAAACGTCAGGTGTATTTTGTGCTTGGCCTTGAACACAAGGAAACAAAAATAATCTACATTAAAAAACAATCCTTGCTCTTTACAGACTTTATCTGCAATCACTTTTACTGGATTCAAACTAAACAGTAAAACTTAAAAATGCTACAATAAAACCTTTATACATATGCATTAAATGAATACAAATTAAACAAAATACTAACAAGAATACAACAAGTATTATCCAAAATAAGCCAGTGTTGGAATTAAACTCTAAAATCATTTCACTTTATATTGCTATCGAGAAACTACAAAAAAAATCTGAGAACCTTCCAACAAAAAGGAAGATTGTCTTTTGTTTTTATGCTGCTGTACGGCTGTTTTTAAAATCATTTTTACTAACTTCCTCTGGAGCAGTGTCCCTGTCGAACTTCAGAATCAATTTTGTGAATGAAAGATATCGACGTTAACGGTTTTGATTATAGGATCTGAAACTCACAGCCGAACTACAAGACAACGAAACAAAACAGAAAATGATATGAGTAGGCACAGCGATAGCAGAAACCTGAGTACCATAAATAATTAGGAAGGAAACTTAGCACCAAATGATGACAAAAGAGACAGAATGTATCCCCAAGCATCATCTGGGGGGGGGGGGGTGTCATCTTAACCCTCCAGAACCAGAAACTCTGGAGTAATGCTGGAGAACCATCATGCTCAAGAGGCCCTACATCCCAGTAGGAAGATCAAAATAAGTGATATTAATCCTGACAGTGATAATGGTTAAGGCAAGTAAAGTATTTTTTATATTACAGAGAATGATGATCAATTCTGGATGTGCAATTTTGAGTGAAACATTCTTTAAGTAAAGGCTAAATAAATAAAACAATCTACTTAAATAACATTACTTATTGTCTTACTTTATTCAAGGTTCTTTATTGTCCTTTGCATCACATGTGGTACATGAGGTGGAACAAAATTGTGTGCACAGGGTCCCAGTTATATTTAACAACAGCAAAAAATATGAATTGTAAAAGGAAACTGTAATAAGGATCTAAGATATAAACTAAAAAATACACTAACAAAGCAAAACAATACGTCGAGCAACAGCAGCACGAACATGAGTCTGTGTGAGTAGATGAGTATGAATGAAAGCAACATGAAATAATCAGCAGCACGAGATCAGCAGCATGGATAATCACTTTATATTACAACATGGGGAAAAAAGTGCTAATGTGACAGGTTGGAACAAAAAAATGAACCTGGTGTTGTGCAGCCCCAGGCCAAAGAGAAACACTTTATTCTTGTATATTTTAGAGAACAAAAACAGGCTGGATCACTTTTAAAGTCTGAGTGTGTTTTACTGCACCATGGGTGACAAACTCAGTTACAAGAGGGAGCCAACATTTAACTTTATTTCAAACTAAAGGCCAGTTTCAGTCACCTGACATCTTTTCTTGGGTGCAAGTACCTCAGACAGAGTTTCAACGGTCTCCTTTGACGTTCTTTTTCACTTTTTTTGCATCAAAATCAAAGATTACTGAAAAATTCCAACATATTTTGCTTGGCTTCAAACTCGGCCAACTCTCATGAGAGCTGCACCAAATAAAGTATGCTCAGTTTTTAAATAAAAGGAGAAGAGATTGAAAACAAATTGCTTTTAAATAACCTCTTTTGGGCCAGATAACAAGTTAAGACGGGACATATTTGGCCCTCGGGCCTGCAGTTTGATACAGGTGCACCAGAGCTGGTTATTAACAAAATTTAAAAACTGCAAAGAACCAACTTGTGTTCTCGGCCTTGAATTGAACACTGAAATCTTTGCACCATGTCAGAGCATGACACCTGCTGGTGAGCGTGTCTATATTCTTTCTTCATGTCTGGATAAAAATCGTACATTTAGCAACAACTGAAGAATTCCAAAACAAGAATATCATAATAAGTTAACAGGATTAATGGGCAGTTTTAAATACCATGTCTAACTCTGCTTCACCGACACTAAAACAACCCTCTAGGTGTGCCAGTTATGTTACATCAATCACTGATACTTAACAAATAACTTTATAAGATAGATAAAATATATGTTTATCTGTTATAAATATTAAAAGTGACAAAACAGAATTCTGATGAGGTTGCAACATTTTAGGAGAGGCTGTAGTGTACCCTAGTTCCCAATAGATGGCAGTGTTTGACCATCTACAAGACAATCAGAAATCTACCCATCCATCACCAGCAGCTGTCAACAAGGGAGTACTATACTGTAATTTCATATGCTGCCTTATTAAAAACAATAAATCAGAATGAAAGAAAACAAGTGTGAAACTAATATAAAATTACTCTGTAATTGACAAGAACAAGTTGATCTTATTTATCTTTTGAGCCCAATAAATGAAGCTGGTATTGCTTTTAATCACCTGGGTTTATTTGCTATTAAAAGTATTGTGTCCTATTGTTAAAAGGTGAGATGAAAAATTCCAATGTGATTCCAATATAGTAATCATTCGAAGCTAATTCATATGAAAAAAGAGAGTCCCATCATTCACAGCCATACTCCACCCAGAGCCAGTGACACTACAGTACATTTAAG